GGCCAATTCATTCGGCGCACGGATCCATAGCTGCCAGCGCTGCATACTGTCGTACGACGTTCCCGCGGTCGCGTGCGCCTTGCCGCGGAACTGCGCGGAAGATCGCGCAGCACTTCGGATTAACACCTCCTTTCGGCAACGCTTCTCTAGTATCCCGTCTCATCTGGCTGCTTCTTTCTGCACCTCGACATTCCTTTTCCTGCAGTAGAAATGCAGACGCGCATTAATCAATCTCACAAGCTGTTTCTGTTTAACCTTGTGACATGCTGGCAGTTCAACTTCATCAGTGATTTCTATGGCCTTGTCAACTAGTCGTTGCTTGACGTTATCCCCTTCCATCAATGTGTCCTGAGAATTTCGAAACATGAGTTCAACCTGTAGGAACATGTCATATACTGCATCGGCAACATGTACAAGGGAACCTTCCTTGTATTTCGGCCTATGCATTCGGCGCACGGATCCATAGCTGCCAGCGCTGCATACTGTCGTAGGACGTTCCCGCGGTCGCGTGCGCCTTGCCGCGGAACTGCGCGCAAGATCTGCACTCAGTGCTTCGGATCAACACCTCCTTTCGGCAACGCTTATCTAGTATCCCGTCTCATCTGGATTGTACAGACTGTCAAGTTCAGCTTGAATTGGCGTCCAGGCATAAATAATACTACAGTAATATGACTTCTACGCCGTCAATGTCTTCGAAGCCAATATAGTCCTCACTCCCGTCGGGGTAGGAAACGCGATATTTATGTATGTCGTCGTTGAAGTATTCAAGAGTGCCTTCAAACCACCCATTTTCATAATGAGCTGTCACCCTACGGCCGCAAAATTCAACGTCATAGAATCGGTCATCCTCATTATCAATCCACTTGTCGCCGTCGTCATCGAGTGACAATGTGTGTCTGATGATCGAGCCTCAGCATTATTCTTAAAAAATTCTGAAAATTTGGGAAATCGAGCCTCGATGATTCTTATAAAAAGAATTCTTATAAAAAAAAACAGTGTAATGCGTTTTTATATGTATTTACCACGATTTACGTATAGAAACTACATGTTATTTTTGCTGGTTTCTCCATCTTTCCTTGGAGTTTTCATCGTCTTTCAATGCCTTTCGGTAGGTTTTCTGCGTGATTATTATTTTGCGCACCCAAATTTTTCTCCTTTTGGGATCTGCAGGGAACCTATACGTTTTGTATCCCTGCTCTGATCTATTACTGCACCCAAAGACACAGCAACCAGTCATAATGACAATTTATTTTCCAGAATAATAGCAGAAAAGTACGGAATACGCTCACAGAAAATGAAAAGCTGCTGCTTCGGTGGAAACAACATGGCGTCCAGCAATCACGTGACCGATTTTTTTCGACTCGTCATGTCGCAACTGTTTATATATAGGGACCCTAACCTAGTTGTAAGCAGAAAGTTCAA